CGACTCGATGGCACCTGACAACAACAACAAATGCCTAAAGAGAACCCAGGTCTGCAGGCTAGCCACCTGCTGAAGACACAAGTCCTCTCAGTCTGTGTGACAGGAAGCCCACCACTGTCTCTCCATGCTACTGCCCCTGGTGCTGATGCTTTTGCAAGCAGGCATCTTGTGCTCCGCTTGTGGGCCTTCTTTCTTGATGGTCCTGGATGGTTTATCTGTTTCTGAGATGGCTCATTTTAAACTTAGAGGGAGGGCAAAACCAAGCAATCCTGCATTGGTGGTTTTGTTGTTAAGTGCCTTTGAGTCAGTTCCAACTTATAGCAACCCTGTACAGCATTTCCCAACATGGTGGTGAGCAGTCCAGTGCTTATGCTACAATGCCACACCAGAGCATTGGAGTTCCCTGTTTGCATTTGGTGGGAGTTGCAAAGACTCTGGAAGAAGAGCTATAATTCACTGGACCACATGGAATTGGGTTGTTTATTTTCTCCCCTCTTGATAAACGTCATCTTTTTACCACATGATAAAGCAGATTGCCAAAGCACTGCTTTGAGCTATGCATGTTCCTTTGAACTTTTAGATAGTAAGCTCATCCCGGGAGCTCTTTGCTCTTTAACCTTCATTGGAGGAGCTCTGCTTCAAATCGTACAATCTGTAATTAGTTTTAGATTTAGATACTTGCTTGGTGGGAATGATCCTTGCTGTAAAGATTTGTTCCCTCTTTTGAGCTACTGCATCCATAGGTGTAGGTCAAGTTCATCAAATTGTATCAGATTACTCTTTTTTCCCTCTTCTTTCTTCTTCTGGTTGAGTTCTGATCATCGAGTCATTGACTGAGCTTCTTTTTAAGACTAAAGTAGCAGTTTCTCTCTACTCTAATAGTATCCTATTAGTCCTGCTATGGTGCTAGGGGTTAATGCACTGGACCTCAAGGTCCGTTTGAACTGCAAGGTCGACTATTCAAACTTACTAGCTGCTCCTCAGAAACCTTACACAGGTTTTTTTTTGCTGAGTCAGAACCGACTCGACAATGGCACTTAACAATTATGTCCAGGAGTCCTAGTGTGGCAGTTAATATCCACCAGCTGCTCCTCAGAAACCCTTTTGAGGTTCTGAATCATTGGCACTTAACAACAGCGGCAATGGTATCTGTTTCCTTGAATTCTGGGGACTTTTGTTTTTGATAGAATCCGGCACAATAGTGATCTATGTTTGCATTCTTTGGAGACTTCCATTGGGATCAATATAAATAGTGGTTCAAGCCCAGTGGGGTGTAGTGTGATCAGGAGGTAGTACTTCATCTCCACCCTTATCTCCTCGGAGGTTAGGCTTCTGCTGCCTTGGAAGCAAGGGGATTGAGGGGTTCCTAGCTTCCTACTATGAAGACTAATACACATATTTTTGAAACTTCATTGAAGTCATTTCATCCAATGTCAGCTCTAAAGCAGGATGTTGGTTCTAGTAAGATATGAAGACTTAGATTTCACCAGTGAGTCTGTCCTGCCCAAGCAAGGATTATTCCTTCCTTTCGCTGAATGCCTGGGTGGCAGTCAGTGTTGTTCACCGTAAGCAATCTTCAATGATCCTGTTACGGTGCAGAGTTGGAGAGACCAAGTCTGACAGAATTGCCAGAAAGGCTGGAAAAATGGAGTGAGAACAGAAGGTCATGGATAACTACCCCTGACCACGATGCTCCTGCTGCAGCTCATGTTCCAAGTTCAGTGACTCAGGTGGGCATGTCCCTGGGCTGGACATCACATTCAGGTCCATGGCCAAGCTTCAGGGAGGTGGGGGAGGCCAGTATAAATGAATAATTGGTCTTTCAATTTGGAGTGGGAGGGCTTGTTGCCAAGATGCCAACCTCCCTCTAGCTGCTGGGGGCTCAGAAGCCCCATGGTTGGTTATCACATCTCTTCCCTCCCTGTCTACATTGTCCTAAAATCGGGACCCTCACTGCCAAATCCCTTAGAAACAGTATACTCTTAGAATATACATTTTTAAACTTTAATTAAAACATGATTGTTGGTCAATATTTCATACAGAACTATTTACTCAACTAATACTACCTAAGGCAGACAATTAGAATGGAAGGCATGATGTTTAAGATGGTCTGTTTACTGTGGAGGGCACTGGAAATTGGCTTTGTTGTTAAGTGCCGTCAGTTCTGACTCAGAGACCCTGTATAGGGTTTCTAAGGAGCAGCTGGTGAGCTTGAAACACTGACCTTGCAGTTCAAACTGACTTTGCAGTCCAGAGCATTAACCCACAGTGCCACCACAGGACTCCTGGAAATTGGTAGGTAGATGTAAGAGAAAGTATGCCATTTATTCATCATTTGTTCTAAGTGGTTTCTTAACTAGTAGTAGCCATTCATTTTATCTGAAACAAATATGATTTTAGAATTCTAAAGGATGGTTCTGATTGCAAATGGTTTTTAGCTTCTGTCACACCAAGGACTTCAGAAGTGTCACAAAACCATGATATAATATACTACCATTACACTCTTAGCAAGAAACATCTTGCATTGCTTGTATTCTTCATTATTCAAAGGATACCATGTCATTGAGGTGAACACTTTTATTAAGTATGGCTAAATAAACTATGGTTTTGGTTCAAAAAGAGCCAACACTATGAACTCAAAAAACTAAGCACCTCATTTTTAGTCAGATATCGGGATGACCTCTTTAAAAAACGCTATCTTACTTCTGATTGTTTTCCTATCTTCAGGTGATGTTCTGATTAGTGTTGGCCATGCCAATGTGTTAGGATATACTCTGCGAGAATTTTTAAAGCTTTTGCAACACATCACGATAGGAACAGTGCTACAAATCAAGGTTTACCGAGATTTTATTGATATACCTCAAGAATGGCAAGAAATACATGATTTAATCCCCGAGACCAAATTCCCAGTAACAAGGTAAGTAGCTAAGCCACTTTTTAAAGTCTCAGCAATCTTTGCTCCACTGCAGAACCCCAGGGTCTGTTGAGCACAAAATCCGGGAGTTGTGTGAATGTTAGGGAGTAATAGGTGAGGTCACTGCAGGACCGTGGTAGGAAGGGTTAGTGACACCTCCAGGAGAGTTGAGTGAGTGTTTTAAGTCCTTTTGGAAGAGATGATCTGACAGGACGCAGTATAAGGCAGAATGGTAAAGGCAAGATTCATGCACTGGGAACCCAGCCTCCCAACCCACCTGCAACCCACCTCTGTTCTTCCAGAGTCCACCCTTAAATACTTGCTGTGAAATCACATTTCTTTATTTTGTTCCCCCTGTGTAGCCAATTTCTCTCAGGATCCTTCCCAATAGCATTCAAACCTTTCAAAGCCTCTGTCTTGGCAAATCACCCCCAACTCTACTCCCATCTCCCTGTCTCCTCCTGTCAGAGAGAGGGTAGTAATTCATCTCCACTCAGCTCTCCTCTGAGGTTAGGCTTCAGGGGTGATTGAGGGGTTCCTAGCTTCCTACTGGGAAGACTAACACATATTTTAGAATTTCACTCGAGTTATTTCATCTGATGTCGGCTTGCCTGGCCTCCCTGCCCCTCCCCTCCCCTCCCAACTTGTTGAGTTGGATGAAACATTCCATCCTCCAAACACATTCCATCTTTCATTTTCTAGGCATGCCCCAACATACTCCCATCTAGGCCCTGTCTTCATCACTGAAAGGCTCTTCCCAAAATTATCCAAAACCTTTATACTGCTGATCCCAATGGATACGTCTCCGATTTTGTCTTCTGAGACACTATTAGACACTCAGCCCCTTTCAAAGTCTTGAAATAATATCTTCCCCAGGTTTCTGTGATAACACACTCCTCTGATTATCCTACCTTAATAACTTCTTCTTGGTCTCCTTTTGCTTTCAAATTCCTCAAGCTTTAGTCCTTGACTCTCTTCTCTCAGTCTCTG